GTCTTTGCACTCTGTTGTCTTACTGCTAATTACTGTTTAGATCTGCTCTTCTGTTACTAATACTTCAAAAGTAATAGCGGTCTTCAAAGCAAGATGATCTTGTTTACAGGAGTGATACAAGTTACTAATACACAGCTTACAGGTGCTTAAGATGGTTGTAAAAATGATTTGATTTTGGTAACGCTTTGTGGTATAGTATGTATTTTCCATTTTTATCATTGATTTTAAGACATCATTCAAAATTACTTGCTTTGGCATCATTTTTATGACATAATAGTCATGATATTTCTTCTACTCCCATGCTTAAACGAGTCTCTGTATCGAGACAAAGCACATACCACAGAAGTAATAAAAATAATAAGCCCTGTAGTGTAAAACAAATCTAAAACAAGCCAGGACAGACGTAGTTTTACATATAACCTAAGTTTAAATTTAGTGTAGTGGATTGGACCCTTACTTAGCATTTAATAAAACAGGATTCAAAGGTATTTATATCTAAATAAAGAAATAGAACAAATTTCATTCCTCCTGTCCTTATGTATGACAGAGAGTAAGAACTTTGTGTTGTAAAGGCGAAGAACATTTAAATTGCAGTCTTAAGAAGAATTGCTAAAAGGGATGTGTTACAGCTGGAGGACTGTCCTTCAGACAGTGCAGTGGAGTATAGGCTGGAAGTCAGACTACCAATGAGACCCAGATGTGAAACTCAGCCATATACAGGCTAAAAATTATTTCCATTGATTTTAATGAAGCTGCACTAGGGATGAATTTAAACCATTACAAAGAATCGTTGATCTGGCATTTTACCGCTAGGATCATGTTTCTTATGCTGAATGCCAATGTTCAGTTCTCAAATGTCAGAGTTGTTTAATTACTTTATTTCACCTTCTAATTTTTGAAAGTATTTAAAGTGTTGCCAAAGGGCATTCAAGTGGAAAGGGCAAGTCAGGTTTATGTTCGTTCTGGTTTCTTTTGTTTGTATTGAAGTAATGCTTATGTACACTATTCATACCTTACTATACCTTAAGTATACATACATTGGGTAAATATTACATGTTCCATATATCATGCATCACAGGAGGATGAAGGGCTTATAGCTAGCTGTAAGAGGTACTTACCTCTTGTAAGAGGTGAGTATCAAATGGACAGAAGCCTGGGAAGTCTGAAGAGACACCCATGGTCAAAATGATAGGTAGCATTATCACTGGCTCTGACACTTTGTGCAAGCACGACTGCAGGAGGCAGCATTTTATTCACTTTTATGAGCTCCTTTTTGACCTTTACAGGCAGTTGAGCAAAATATGAATGTTCACACAAACCACTTTTTATTTTAACAGCACTGAAAGAAAATAACAAGAAACATAAACTATCATGCTTTAGCTCAAATGCAGGGAAGATTTACTGACAGAGGTGCAGTGAATCTCTAGCTGCCTTTTCCCTTTAACATCATGCAGGATGTGTGGACTGTCACACCAGGTGTCCCTTCTGTCCACCCATGGCTGTTCAAGCTCTGAATTTAAGGAGGAACAATTTCTTTTTAAGATGGGTTAAACACAGAAGGTCAGTCACACTGATCTGTCAGACTTAATGGTACAGGATCACCTTTAGAGACAATGGCTGCTGAGACAGGAACAAAAATGCCAAGACCAGGTATTTCTAGGACCACACAGCTGGCTCCGTTTAGGCTTTTGGTCATTCTATGCAGGCTGTCCACAGCAATCTGCTGTTACACCTTTATCTCTGCTCTTTTCCGGACTCTTCTCTTTTACGTGTCTGCTCACTGGTTGCAGCATATGTCCATTTTGCATTCTTCCTCCTTGAAAATCTGCTCAAGATAGAAAGCTTAAAAAAACATACTCTTCAAGCTTAGAAATTAGAAGATTATTTAAGCATGTTAAACCTGGGTTCTGGGCTATGTAGTTCTTATTATTTATTTGTTTATTTATAAGAATAATTTTAGAAGCACCCAAAAATAATCTGAAAAACATTTCTGTGATCTAGGAAAGGGGCTGTGCTGATTAGTCTTAAATACAGCCTTCTCCTCCCCTCTTACCAGAGGCTTCCGATAGTTAATGCGTAAGAGGTAATCTCTTTCAGTTTGGCAAAATAGCAGGATCCTTAAATCTGTTATGAAGATATACAATTTTAGTCCACTAGTTATGCCAAATTTTAGAGATTATAAATTTTTTTTAATAGGCTGATGTGTATGGAAAGAATGAATCGGCAATGACCAATGCAATCTCCAACCCTAATATATTTTGTGATTGAATCTTCAGTACTGGATTTTTACTAGAGGCAATTTTATATTTTGCTTACTAAAAATATCCAAGGGATTTGATGTGATCTGTGTAGCAGAACAGTATATAAATTTCCTAAAGCCCTGAGGATAGTGTTCTGCTGATGTTGCTGTTAGACAATATGCATGAAGGCGCATCTGCCATGGCTTTTTCCCTGGCCCGTGGCTCCAGTGCTGCAGGGATGGAATAACAGAATGTCTTAGCGCAGTGCTGCCATAAAAAACATCTTAGGCCAGGAGGCAGTTGGAGGTGAGGAGGGACACATCTGTAAGGTGTCTGGATGTATAGCACTCCTGCGGTGAGCCTAGTACCAGCCATTGCTTCAGGCATGTTTGAGTATCTCTTCCATGCTGCTGGCATTGTCTTGGTGCACTGGGATAGAAGTGCTCATGCAGGGATCTGTGTTTGGTTACCCCAGCACATACTGTTTCTGAGATGTTACCAGGACTTGGGACTTCTGAATGTCCTACAGCCAGCCCCAATTCCCTCTGTAATTAGGTTAATTTTACTCTAAGGGCCTCTGCCTGCCTCTTCTCTCTAAAGGTAAAAAGTAATATCTGTACCTGTCTGCAGTATCCTTTGGGGAAAACCAGGAGATGAAGGGAAATGAAGTGATTACTTTAGCATAGGCACCTATGGTTCATTTTGCTTGAGAAGTCCTCTTTTTGCTGTACGATTTCTTTGGCAGTAATAGAATAGTATTTATTACAATTAATGATGTTTTAATGGGCCATGTGGAATGGAAGTGGGCACACCATGCTGTGGCAATGGAAACACAGCAGTGTTCCCTGGGTGGTACATTCTGGACACAGCTCAGGATGAGAGGATTCATCTGAGACCCTGACTATTGAGATTTTGGGAATTGTGACTTATTCCTGTAAACAGTATTAAATTTGACCCATGATGCGGCCCTGCTTGCCTCCGCAAATTTAACTGTTGTTGTTAGTTGTACACAGATTGATCAGTTTACCTTGACGCAGTATTTGCAGAGCTGTAATTACAAGTGAGTGCTTACAGCGTCAGTAGCTGTGGAAAGCAATGTATGTGGGGTTTTTGCAGGTAATAAAATGGAAAATCCAATTTGCAATTGCAAAGCAAGCCCCTGAGTGATACATGGTCTTCATAGCAGCACTGGTCAGGGGGTTATGGCTAATCACAGTGCCGGCTTGCTTCCCTGGTGGCCTGTGCCTGAAAACTGAATAGCGAGCAGTGTGAGCCTGCGCCTTGAGCCAGCGTAGATTTAGACACACCAGTTTCTAGCTTATTAGGTCCTCTTTGTCATAGTACTTAATCCTCCTTCCTGATCCTTGTTAGAACAGGGCTGCCAAGTCCCTTAATAAAGGAGATGGGTGCAAGGCTCCTAACGAGGCGCACTGAAGCATGAGGCAGCGAGGGCAATTGCTGTCTGACTGACAGAGGGGTGAAGTGCTCCCTGCCTGTTGTTATTTCAAAAGAACAGGCCCCAGACAGCTGACAGACGAGTGTGCTGAGGTAATGGTAACTTGTTGATAGGCCGATATGAGATGCATGACAACTTCTCACACGGTATAATGGTCTGTCTGTACACTAATTGTGTTAACCCTTTTTATGGAGAGCAGCACATCAAGAATTAGCTGTAATGTGGAACATGCAACTGAAATGGCCAGCAAGCACACAGCTTGCAGTAGCTCCCATAGCATGCGTGTTCATGCAGCTTACACAAGTGCCTTTAGTTTTTAAAAGCTAGCACAGCAGGTTGATTTCAGATTTCTCTGACAGCTTGACTCGGTCAGTCTTCAAAACCTTGCAATTTTGTCTTTTGTTTCCCATAGCTAAAGATTTATTTTTTGTTTCTTTAGAATGCTGGGGGGGGGGGGGGGAGGGTAGGCCTCTCTTCATCATAAAATTCACAAAAATAAATGTAAAATGTAGCACAGATTTCTTATTTTGATTGAAAGAGCTCAAGAAATTATGTCAATGGCTGGATGGTCCTGGAATTCAGCCTGTCATATCCATAGTCATGAGGAGTTTCAGCAGAGCATGTACAGTATTGTTTATGGGTGGTAAACATTTACAAAACGAACAAAAAAATCCCCAAGAAAACCCCTGATAGGTATCTTACCTATTCAGCTGGCAGGAGGACTTAAAACCAGCATGTTGCAAGAATGACACTTTTTGTTTGTTTTTCACAATATAGAGAACTATAACCACAGATGAGTGATGGGATCTCAGTGCAAACAACATGCTGGCTACTGGGAAGGCAAAAGGCATATTGGGCTTTGCTTGTTGACACGGTGCTTGGAACAGTGATCAACAAATGCTTTGAATGCTAAGCTTTGGCAGAGCAAGCTCCTGTCCCATTGTCATTCTCCTTTCACTCTTGCAAGTTGTGTGGAGGGCCCAAAACCTATGCACTGTTAAGCCCTGCTTAAAACTAATTTAACGGATAAATACTCTATGTACTGGGCTGAGTTCAATCCTGTTGAGCAATATGTGGTAGCACTGAAATTAGTAGGGCAGAATTGCATCCGTCATGGTGGGAAATGTTATGTCATCCTCTTCCTCTCCACCAAGACTGAAATATTTGCTTTTATTAAATATTTGCTTTTATTATGGTTGTACTCTGAAGCAAATGAAAAGTTTTCTATTCAAAGTAGGATATTTCTTTTAAATTTTCCATATTTCACACTTTCTTCATATGCTGTTTTGTTTAATCCCTTTCAGGTAATTTGGATTTGACTGGTCAAAAGCAAGTCTTCAAAGCAGAGAACAATCCTTGGGTTACCCCTATTGCTGACCAGTTCCAGCTGGGCGTATCTCATGTTTTTGAATACATACGTTCAGAAACATATAAATAGTAAGTATTCACTTATATACTGTGTCCGTGTTGTTGGGTTTTTTCCTGTAGTGTGTTTGACAAAGTGTTACCAGCTGTACCCTTCTTTCATAATTTGTGCAGTAGCTTGGTATTCAGGGTAAATATGCAAACCTGTCCATTTATATTAGGGAATTTTGCTGACAAGAATGTAAATAAAGATATAGACATGTTTGGAAAGCACAGAGACTATTTGATGTTGTCCTGCATTTGTTGTTCATTTCCAAGAGCTGTTAAGCAACATAAGAGATGTAAAAGAGCAATCATGATAAGCCTGTGACAAGTACTAATTTTAAGTTGAAATAGATATTTGTAAATGTTTCTGGATGCAGGTTGTTATGGATGTGTCCAGAATTCAAACCTCGTTCAGTCTGGGTGGGTTTACAGAAGTCTACAACCCCAGTAATTCGAAATAGGTACCAGTGTTTTCTTCAGCAATGTAACTGGAAAAAAATACCTCTCACAGTTGGACTTCTTTATTTTAATTCAAAATTCTATGTACAAGTGCTAAGCATTTATTTAGGAAATTATGTCTTTAATCATTGACTGACTGAACTGAAATATTTCTTTTTAGTAAAAATTTCCATGTTACCAGTCCACAATAAAACTTCAGATAGGAAGTTGCTTTTATGTATCTGGCAATAACCTTGATGCTGTCTTCCTAGAAGCAGTGCATGAAATTAAAAGATCCAGCAACGGCTTTTGTAGACTGTTCTTCATTTACAGAATTTGAGTGAAAAGGATCACAGATGGGAGGGTGGTTACAAGAATTATGTGTCTCAGAAGTGTCCTGATATTTTGCTGTAATATGTGTTCTCAAGATAGATTTATTCATAGATTTAAGTAGGTTGCAACACCCTTCTTCCAGTAGTACTAAGTACTACAGACATGGCGTAGGAAACCAGCTATCTCCTTAGACCATCCCTTCTCCACAGTTCATTCTGTAGCTGTGTCCAGGTCTCTTGATAGTTTGTAATATTTTTTGTCATCAATTTTGTTTGTTTGCTGAGCAGTGTAGTTTAGGAACCTTCATGCACTTCTCACCACTCTGGGCAGCCACCATGAGGACAGCCAAGTTTCAAGGATTGAAGTGCAGTTTTGTGAATTTGGCTCATGCTCAGTTTGGTTGAGTAGGGGCTGTTGTTATGTATCTGTAAGGGGGGGGGAATTATAACTATGAATATATTAAACTCCTCTGGCAACTTTCCTTGTGCAATCAAAATTGACATTAAAGATTCTGTAATTCATCACTTGCTCCACTATTGTTCTTTGGTTTAAATTAGCCATATTATGTTTGCTGTCTTGTTCTTTGCTGAGGTGCAACAGTGTTTTGTTGGCTAATGGGCTGATTTTCATTTTGTCCACAGTAAATATTTGAAGCCTTTGTAGTTAACAGTGTAAGCAAAATCAGACTGTAGACATTAATAGGGGAAAAAACAAAACTGAAGAATCTTTCCATAGCTCATTCATGGCCTCTACTTCAATTTTACAAGCTCATTCAGTTAAAATGGCATTATTTTCAAAGATCAGTGATGAAAACCAAATGCATGCAGATGTTAATAATTAGATGATAGGGTTTTTTTGTTTTGAGGTTTTTGTTTTTTTTCCCTGATTTTCAGGATATAAATATTTTATATTTAAACAATAAATTTAAAATATTTGTATAATTCTGTTAGGATCCCAGTAGCAACTTCTTTTTGATTCTTGACTGTACTTGTTTCACATACTATAAATAAGAGTGTGGATTTCCTGCTGAAAAAAGACTGTCCTTTTTATTTCCAGTTTTCTTTAAATATGTGATCTGAGAATTACTTGGATGCCACCTGCTATATGCATTTTCCTGTTTGCATTTGATTTTAGGTGTTAAAACTCATAAGCAGTGGCATAATCTAAGTAACAGGTCTAGTAGCATTATTGTGCACAAAAGCTGTGAATACAGAAGAAATGAAAATTCCTTTTTGTGATGAAATCTTGATTTTATTTTTTTTTTTTTTTATTTCCCTGCTAACAGCTATAGACCTGCAACTTTCTTTTGCTTTCAGAGCCTACATCCAGGTAGTGTGTCTTTTTTCTCATTGGGCAAGTGACAAGGTTGAGATGTGAATGTAGTAATTTCATCTGTAGATATCTAACTAAAATTGATCTCTTGAGTTTTTTTGATCCATTCACACAAAAGAAAAATTTAAAAATTAATTTTTAACATTTGGTAGACCCACAGAGCTTAACTTCTACTCTGAGACAAAGCACTACAGTTAAATAGATGATTGGATAAATTGCTGATTAGATAACTTCACTTGCAACACTGAGAAGAGAGAACAGCTTGCATACGGTAGCAGCTGACAATCAGATCAGTAAGTTAACTTTCAGGTACTGGAAGATATGGACTTTTCATAAACCAGGAGCTGTGCATCTATATAGTAGATGGATTTTGAGCTCCAAAGATAGTAATTGTTTCCTTGTGCCCATTGCATTTGCTGGAATTACTGATTTTACTTTGTTTACGTGTCTAGTGTTGTCTGTACTAGCTAAGAGAGAGGGTATGCTCATACAATCACACATGCCAAGTTTCAGGGGCTTAGCAAGTTACATTTCACAAAATGGTTTATGCTAATACATTTTAATTTGTGTTTGCAATGACTAGAACATCATATTTACTCAGTTGCTGTTATCTTAGCCAGAAAGTGGTAACTCAGTAAGTCTTGGCAGTGTGCTCACTTGCAGTCATGTTACTAAACCTTCATGGTTCTACTGATGGCTGGCACAAGCTGTAACTATATGCAGCAGTCAATGTCAGAGATTTCCATTTGGATTCTGTGAGGTTGCCCTTGTGAAGCAACTACCAAACAGATCACAAACCTCTTCTTTCCTCTGTGAAATGTACTGGCTGTTTCAGTCATATATAGTGAAAAATTAGACTCCATTTTTAGCTTTGTCTTGGGATATTCATGCTCTAGTGATTAATTGACAAGTAGGGATGACACCTATAAGGGATGATTATATCTAAAGATAAAATGTCATTTGTCTCACATACTTCTACATTTTTACACTCCTCTTTTACTCATGCACCAAGAATATAACTGGAATTGCACTTTACTTAGAAGCGTGTTAGCCAACAGGAGCCTCAGATCAGCTCTTCTTACTTTGTAGTTTCTTTCATTTCCTTTAATTTCCTTACCTTTCATGAGAAATGATGCCAGGTGATTTTTTTCAACCCTCATTTTTCAAGGAAGACTTGTGCTGACAAAAAGATGGGCCATATATTGTGGCATAAAATGTGTGTGGAGGGGCTCTTAATTCTTAACAGGAAATTCAGCAGCTCTTGGCACTTTGCTGCTTTTGTTGGCTAAAATACACCCACTGCACATATCATCCTGTGACTGCATCATTTGGAAATAGGTCAGTTTGCCAAGTATATAACGATTCTTAATCTCTGACTGCTGTGCTAACTTTCTGAAAGTTAAGTTAGTAAGCTGAGTATTGGCTTTGATTCTATATATACTCAGGAGCTGCCATTAAACTCCCCGTGTGGTGTCACGATGGTGTTGAAAAGCAGTTGAAGAACTTACTCAAACAGTAAAGGGTAATGACAACATCATCTTCTCAAAGGGCTTGACTAAATGTTTTATATTTTATTCATGCCTTTAGTTAACTTTCAAGTGACCTTTATGTTGTAAACATATTCTCAAAAGATCTCTTCTAAGGTACTGATGAAGAGATGAGGTATTGTACGTTTTAGTGTTTACAGTGTACTTAGACAAGTGCAAACAGAATGTATGTTTGAAAGAAAATAGTGAGTAAGCTCCTATGAAGAAAGGAAATACTGTGATGCTCCTCAGGATCAGTGTAAGGTAATTAGGGATTTATTAAGATGAGATAAAGCTGAGAGGTGCAGTTGGTACCACCGAGTGGGTTTGGTTACTGGCATTTACAGTACAGTTAATCCAGAAAGTCTCTCTTTGGGTACATTTCTGGCATCAATCGCATGTTCCTGATCAATCTGCATGTAAAACTTGCCCTTTGCCTGGTGGTTCTTGTAACAAGAAAGTGTAGTGATTTTGCTTTTATCACAGCAGAGTCTTGCAGTCATCAACTGATAGTGTAATCTCAAATAAAACAAAATAATTTGCTGGGTCCTGAGTCCTTAAAATAGCATCTGGATTTCTAGCCTGTTTAAGCTGCTGTTAACGCTGCAATCACCTTTTAACACTTTATTTAATGATTGTTGTCTCCCTGCTTGACCTCCTTATTCCAGTGAGGCAGAATTATGATAGAACAGTCACTGTTTTTTAGGTTTTTAGAAAGCAGTTTTTCCCCATGAGGCAGTCAGTTTGGAGTCAAGAGTCTCAACAAGGTATTTTGTGAAAGGTAGTAAGTTGCACTTTTCACCTTTCCATCAGGAAAGGTGGTAGAAGAGCAAGCCATTTTAAAGACTGACACATTAACTCTTAGCAGAGGAAATGGTTTGACAAATGCTGTGCTGAGCATATATCGCTTGGCAGCATTGGAACATAGGTTTGCCCGGGCAGACTATTCTGTGCTAAGCATTGTAATTGAAAACCTCATTTTATCAGCAGTGACAGTCTGGAAAAATTAACTCTTGATTCAGTCCTCCATTTAAAGACAATCTTCCCGCCTTTCTTCTTGAAAATGAATTGTTGTACTGGACCCCCAAGATTACGTAGCAGCTGTTTCCAGGGCAGCAGATGCAGGTCATGAAGTAAGAGATTCTTCTTCTGGGTTCTATTAAGAAAGTGTATTTCAGCATTTATTTTTAACAGCTAGAGGAGACTGGCAAGATATGTGGTCTAATGCACTAAAGTACAAACAGTATCCTTAAATAACTCCTGTTCTTATTCTACAGTTGTTAAACCTGTTTAATTTCAGCTGCATGAGTAGTGCTGTCCAGGTTGTGAAGATGATGATCAGTAAAACCACCTATCCCAGAGTGGAAAAAGAGGTCAAAGAGGGGAAAAAAATAAAAA